GGATATTTGGAATGCAGCCCATTACACTGAAATAGCTATGTTTTTCTCAGGAGGCAGATAGTAGCAACAGAAATAGTTAAGTTTTAATGAGTGCTTACTAAGTGCTATGTTCCAGGCAATAAGCTAAAGGATTTTATGTCCATTATTTTGTGTGGAGACAGCAACCCTATTTTGTAGTAACTACAATTATCATCATTTTGCAGGTGAGGAAACTGACAACTCAGAGAGGATACCTAGCTTTCCCACAGGCCCCTAACCAGCAGTGGCAGAATGGTATACTCCTGACATGGCGTGGCTGGGTCTTGCCACCAAATGTAGGGGACCTCTCCCTCAACAGGCAGCAGCCTGGGCATTTCATTGTGGTCTTAAAGCTCCTGGGATGAAAGGTGACCAATGCAAGGCTACATTCCCATTCTGCTCCACGTTGGTAGAAATGCTCCTGCAAAACAACCATGCATTTCAAGCAGGCTTTCCATGGAAAAGCTAGCGTGGGCACACACTCAATTCAATTCCCAGGGTGCTTTCTCACAGAGGTTCTTCCACAAGATTACAAAGACTGGGAACCTAGCCCATTATTATTAACATTTTTACAAAGCTATTCTGGCTTCTTTCAGGGCCATATCAGTTTCAAAGATCGCTGTTGGGGTGGGAGCAACTGAAGTTGAAATAGTCTGAATGTTAAATGTAGCCTTGGAGCGGAAACTTTTCTTTGGAGTTGAAAAGTCGGTGGAATATTCATAGAAACGTAATATGAGCACAAGATACCAAGTCAGTGTCAAAACTTTGTTCCAAACCATATTTGCTGTTTGTAAAACTGGCTCCTCAGGGACTGGCTGGGGGATAAGGTAAGAAGGCGAGTGGGTTGGGTTCCTGCATGCCTTGAGAAAGGTCTGAAGGTCAGGGCTCCCCTTCTCCATGGAGGGGGATCTTGCATCCACAGGACTTAGGATTTTGAGGGTTGGTGGTAATGGAGTCCAGCCCTTCCTGCTCTGGGAGGACCATCTCTGACTTAGATGTGAATCTCATTTCTTTATTTTGCCACCTGTGTTGTGCATGAGAAACAGAAGCTGTAGAGGTGTCTATCGAAAAGCATTGTGTGGTGTTTTGCGCGTGCAGAAGTGACATGATTTGCATTTTCTTTGAAAGTCTCCTGACCAAGATATTGATTTTAAAAAAAATCATGGGGCATAGACCCTGATGGACATCATCTTAGGATTCTGGAACTATACCATAAAACTAACCAGAGGGATCCAAAACTGATGACCTAAATTTCCTTTCAAGAATGAACAAATCTCTCTCATTTTTTTCCCCCTAGGAACTCTACTCATCTGTAGTTAATCTAAGAATTAACATTTAGCAAATTACTGCCTCAGTGTCTTAAATGAGGTATGTGCCTGGTGGCTCTGTTGATTAGAACCTTGTGCTAATGAGGTCATGGGTTCAGTCCCCGAGAGGGCTGCTTCATTCATTGTGGTCCCCCTCCAAGCCCCAGTCAGGTCTCCAAATGACCACTGGTCACAAATGGCCTTTTCGGAAAGAATCAACAAAATGTTTCACCATTTATGGGAAAAACAACTCAAAGCAGATGACTTGAGTTAATTTGGAATATGACAACGATCCTATGGGGTAACAAAATGGTACCCCAGAGGCTGTAAGGACTTCTTGCAGACTGTGCCAAGTGCCACACTTCGTGGGGGTGGCTTCCTTGCTGGGAAAATTGATTGACGTGTGTGGGAGGTTCCAATCCTACCAGTTAAAGGGGAGTGCCAACTAATAACAGTAGGGAGGCTGAATGCTTATTCAAAATGCAGACTCAGAGGGACACTTTAGTAGAATTTTGTTGAATTTTTTGCTAGTCACTTACCTAAAATAAGAATCATTTTGGGCCTTCTGATTAACATCTGAAGTTATGCAACCCATGGGGCCATTTCTACCACTGCCAGGCCACTCCAACCATTTGTCTCAAGCTGCCAGGAGACGCAGTAGCTAGGAGCACTCAGAGTGAGGGTGATTCTCGTTCTCATGTATTCTTTCCATTTTGCACTCCCAACCCTCTCTCAGAAACCACTTTTTCAGGTCCAGTTCCAATGCCAAGTCTCAGTCAAGCGTGACTGGATGCAGTGATATCCTCTGAGGCCACCTCTTGGATTTAGGGAAGAGTAATGCCTAATGAGCTCCACTGGCTTTCTCCCAGTTACCAAGAACCCCTTCTCCAGGGTAGATGCTAGTTCTTTTTAAAAAAATTTTAAAAATTTTAATTGCTATACCCCTTTCATCTAGCAGAGTGCTTTGTGTATAGTAGGAGTTAAAAAATATTTGTCGAATGAATGAGTGAGTGGATTAAAGAACCAAATGTAGAACTGGTTCCATTTAAATGAGGATCATTTTTTAATGTTATAATTTTCTTGTTTTTCTTTTTACAAAAGCATATGTGATTATTGAAAATAACTTAGAAAGTAGAGAAAAACAAAATTTAGAAGATAAAAATCACCCATAACACCATCTCTTAGAGATAACCTTCCTTGCCATTTTGGAGTGCATGATATCGATATCCATATATCTATCTATCATATAGCTTGACAGTGTGTGCCATTGTATAATGTTTTTATTCATTATATCAAAATGCTTTGCATGATATTATATATTCTTCCACATTATCATTAAAACATGTTTTAGAACATTTCATTGCATGACTGGACTTCAACTTAATCAGTTGCGTATTAAATTATACTTGTAGCAAAAATGTTCTACGTAGCTTTGTTTATTTCCTTGGGACAAATTTCTATAAGAGGAATTGCCTGACTCCATGGTTTTCTAATTTAATATGTGTTGGCAAGGTATTAATCAAAGAGGCACCACCAGTTTTCACTCCTATTTGCAAAAATCTAGTGTACCACCTCTATCCTCCTTTGCCAAACAGTATTATCATTCTTTTAAATATTTGCTAGTTTCATAGGCAAAAGTATATCAGTGTTCTTATACTTTGTATTTCTTTTACTAATAGTGAAACTGAGTTTTTAAAAAGTCTGGTCATTTTAATGTCTTCTTTGCAAATTGTCAGTTAATGTTCTTTAAAACCTATATATTTGGAGAGGCAATAGACTTACCCCTTTCTGTTTCATAGGGCTGTTGTAAGAATTTGTTGAAGCAATCTATTTGAATGTGTTTGAAATCTACAAAGCAACACACAAATGTATTGATCAAATGTGTGACCTGGTAGAGGAAGGATCAGGAAGAATGGTCTCTACTGATAAATGAGCTGAGTACTGGGTGAAGGCTTGCGTAAGATTTGTTGGAGGAGGGATAGGGAGAGGCACCTGTACAGAAAGGGAAAGGGGCCTTTTGTCAAGAGATTTGTGACTTTGGGAAGGTCTCCGGAAATAGACAAGGTCAGAAGCAATGCAGGGGCTGGCGGCTGGAAATGAGAGCCAATTAGAAAGAGCAGGGAACAAGACAGGCCAGAGGAACTGCAGAAAATAAAAGAGACTGAGTGGGAGTAGGAGACATCTCAAATGTCCCAAAACCACCAACGGAGAAAAGAAAAAAACTGCAGTGCGACTTCTCTGAAGACTCACCAGTAGGCCAGTGTAACCAAGGCAGCAGGCGTGTTCAAGAACAAACAGGGAAACAGTGCCACTGAAGACAGGTGTGGTCCCATGGCCACAGGACGTCCACGCTTTCCAACGAGTCCCTGGAGGAATCACACCTGCAAAAGGCACACAAAATAGATAATTAAATAAAGACAAAATACGGCACTAAAATTCCCCCAGCTTGTGTATGATCCCACTTATGTAAAATGATATATAAGGTATGTGTAGTATATCTAATATATATGCTATATATTAGATATGTATTGTATTATTTATTTATTTATTTTTTTGAGGTGGAGTCTCGCTGTGTCGCCCAGGCTGGAGTGCAAGGGCATGATCTTGGCTCACTGCAACCTCTGCCTCCCAGATTCAAGCGATTTTCCTCCTCAGCCTCCCAAGTAGCTGGGATTACAGGCATGCGCACCACCACGCCTGGCTACTTTTTGTATTTTTAGTAGAGACGGGGCTTCACCACGTTGGCCAGGCTGGTCTCAAACTCCTGACCTCAGGTGATCCGCCTGCTTTGGCCTCCCAAAGTGCTGGGATTGCAGGCATGAGCCACCGTGCCTGGCTTATTCTTTATATATTATACATGGATACAGGCATATACACACATGCCCTTGGTATTCTTGAGATAGTGGTAATAAAGTGGGATAGGAAGAAATAATTATATTTGCTTTTATTCACCTTTTTAAGTATTGTTTTGCTTGTTACGGTAAGTACATATTACTTCTCTAGTTCGAAAATAAAGAAAAATTAAAGGAATGTAAACTATGCTGTGAGTGTTGCTTGCCGTCATCCACTCTGCAGCACACAGCGTGGGGAATTCACGAGGCAATGGGAGCTAAATTTCTGGGCTGTCGCTGGAGCCCAGGCTAAATCTGGCAGGGGAGTCCTAGGGACCATCTGACAGTCACACCTGTGCCTCTCAGGGCACCAGGTTTATCACCATCTTACACTTAGATAAGAGGACACTTAGGTAATAAGGGAAGCTGTACCTCCTTGGCAGGAAGGACCCTGACCAACAGGTGGGACATGTCTGTGGGCTGGGAGCAAACAGAGGTCTTCCTGCCAGATCAGGTGAGGGTGGCCACCTTGCAGGGAGGAGGCACAAATCAATTGCAGGGGAAAGAATTTGAGCTTGGGACCAGGTGCGGTGGCTCACGCCTGTAATCCCAGCACTTTGGGAGGCTGAGGCAGATGGATCACCTGAGGTCAGGAGTTTGCTAAAATACAAAATCTGAAAATACAAAAATCAGCTGGGCGTGGCGGTTTGTGCATATAATCCCAGCTCCTTTGGAGGCTGAGGCAGGAGAATCATTTGAACCCAGGAGGCAGAGGTTGCAGTGAGCCAAGATGATGCCACTGCACTCCAACCTGGGTGACAGAGTGAGACTCTGTCTCAAAAAAAAAAAAAAAAAAAATGAGCTTAGTGGAGGAGGGAAAAACCTTTGTTCTCCTTCAGTTCAAGGGCTGCCATTGCAGCAGGTGAAACAAAGCTCTGGCTGTGTGGGGTTTTGTGTTGCTTTATATTAGGTGAGCTGCTCTGAGGCAAAACCCTGTTTCCTGTGTCCTTCATGGGCCAGACACTGTGCTGGGGCTTGAAGGGCAGAAACAAGGCTGAGGTGGCCTCTGCCCTTCTGAAGGTCACAGTTGAGCTGGGGAGACAGATGGTACAGGAGATCCCGCACCAACAGAGCGTCGCCACATGTGGCAATGACGGCTCCACAGGAAACCCACTAGGCATGAGGGTAAAGATCAGAGCTAGGACCGCTTTGGACCGGAGGCGCTCTCTGGCGGGTCTTTCTGAGCAGAGGATATTTCAGGCAAGTCAAGGATGAAGCAGAGGGGCTGACAGTGAATAGTGGGATGAAGGAGGCCCAGGAGGTGGGCCTGGCGTGTGTCCTGTTCACCTGTAGAGCCATGAGCTGGGCTGCTGGGTAAGGGTGGGGTGTGAGAGGCTGGCTTCCCGTTCAGGAGTTTGACCTTCTCCCAAATGCAAAGGGTAGGTAGTGTGCTCAGAAATCCAACGACGGAGCGCCTCTGCCTCCACTCAGCGCCTACTACAAATGTGCTGAATGAGCAAAAAATACAGTAGATGGATGTTGCATGCTCAGAAACATTCCATTTTATTTTATTTTTAAACTTTGGTTTCGATTTCTATTATATAAAAAGTCACTTCCATTTAGATTTGTTTTCACTGCAAGACCAAGCTACAGTGGGGAGAACAGGGTCTGGTGTGTAGCCACGTGCCTGCAGCTAGAGGGACACAGCCTGAGATGCCCTCCCACTGACTGCCTGGACCTCATGAAGTGCTTTCACGAACCAATCTGTCCCCTTTGTTGTCACCAGACATGCTAGGCTGAGCAGGTATTCATATAGTCTCCACTTTGAAAATAAGGATGCAGAGCCTGGGAGAATGGAAAAGACTTGGCAAGGTCTCTGGAACATGTGCCTGTGTTCTGGTAAGCTTTTTGTGAGCCTGAGGCAAATGGTGGCCACATTCAGAATGACTTGGGCTGCTAGCAGTGGTCTCAGAGGCCTTTGCTGGAGGAGTCTGTGGTGAGCGGGAAGGAGCTTAGGGTGGCTCTGACAGACCATCCCCACTCCCCTTACCACTTCCACATAGTCAAGCCCTTGGTTGGTGTCTGCTCATCAGGTGGACGGGAGACTCCACGTCCGTAACCCCACTCTGTGCCCACTGGGTGTCCACATCCTAAACTTCATTAGGACTCTGAAGTCCTGAGGTTGGGGAGGGACCAAAAAGATCAATGGAAGTTCTGGCTGTCTCCCCCATCCCTACACTTAAATGTTTGTGACTGGAATGATTCTGGATATGCTAACTGTCGACTGATGAGCATCTTGGTCCTCTGGTATCCTGAAGTCCTGGCCCAGTCTCCTCCTTGGACTTGTTTCCAAGGGAGTCTACTGTGATCACTAGGATCACCCCTTATCATGTGAGATTCATTTAGGTGTGTCAGCATTTGGGGACACGTGTGACATTCAGAATAGCTAGTGTAGATCTTCAACTACCTTCCATTCTATGTTTCCTGGCAGGAGTCCACTGGTAATTCTTTGAAGCAAAACAATACTTTTGCAACTTAATCATCAGCATTTGGAATACAGTATCTCTTGTCTGAGCTTGAATGGAAAGAACCCACAGTCTGTGACTTCTAGCCATTTAGAAAAATGGCAGTTGCCATAAGACGTGAACTTGGCATTTGAAATCAGCAGACAACGAAGAGTTAGTGTAATGTAAAGAGACAAACATGGGATTTGGATATGAGGAGGGCTGGGTTCCACATGCTTTTCACTTGCTGTCATGGGACTTTGGAGTGGACAATTTTCATGATCTCACTAAAGCCCATTTTTATCACCTTTTAAATGGGGGATAATACCATCTACCTCATAATATATTTGTGAGGATTAAAAGAGAGGAATTAAAATACCTGGCACATAAGAAACACTCAAGAAATATTAGTTTCTCTGCCCCTTTACTCTTAATGATTTAATTAATCACTCCAAAAATAGAACATTCTTCAGAATAGACTCCTACCCATTTGTTGTTGATGGGACATCCAAAGGGATGTGCAGTTCTTTTGTATGGTGTATAATAACTTGACTTTGCACCTTAAAAGGGGAAAAAGGAAACCTCTGGTACCTTAAACAATGACCCTTTTAAAGTCTGCGCTGGGCACCATTCTCAAAGAATATTCTTATTAACATACTTTCTTATAAATGGAGCTCTACTGATCAAATATGTATAAGTTAGTAGCCTGCAGAGTCAGAGCAGTGCTTGGCAAGCCTGAGGACGTTTCCCATGTGCGCTGTGGGATGGCATAGGCAGGGGATACCCTTTCATTTTGTGACATGATTTGGGGGGCTCCAATGTGAGGTACTCTTGGCATGGTTTCTTCCAGCTCTGGGCCTGTTCTGGGGCCTGTCAGGACTCCCACATATCCCATCCTTGCAGGCAACTCCCTTTGAAGTCCATGAGAACTCTTTGAATGGAAAACATACACAACGGGGTGTTGATGCCAGTAAGAATCAGGCCTGATGTATGCGAGGAATAAAGGTGCTTCTCACCCCAAATATTAGCTCTTTAGCCCAGAAATTATGGTTTGATCATTAAATAAAAGAGCACTCCCCTCCTCTCACAATCCACCACCAAAGCTCCACCATCCATTTGCTCTGGAGATGATAAACCTGCTAATTGCTGGAGAGTTTTAATTAAGCAACAGCTATAGACAGTGTAGGGCTGTGTTTTTACTTTAAACATATCAATAGAATAAACATTCTCAATTCCAGGGCAACTTGCTAAATGAAAAAAAAAAAATAAACATTACTTTCTTTTGAAATATCACTCATTGGGTGTGATAATTTAGAAAAATATCCCTATTAGAGATAGTTAGGGACGTTTTTTTCTTTTTCTTTTTTTCTTTTTTGGTTGAAAATGCAATCGCCGATGGAGCACAAAGCTGCAATTTGTAGACAGGTTAAGTAAATTAAATCACTCACTGTCTTTTTCTTTTTTCCAATGGCTTTAAAAGTTAAAGGTAATTTGCAAAGAAAATGCTCAGTTTGAATTGGTTTGTAATATCTGTTAATGATCTTTAAAAAAATCCACTTATTCACAATTCTGTCCCTGGGGGAATTCCGATGTGCTATCAGAAAAAATTTCTAAAGTCTGAAATGTCATTAGCTGGTGATTTCTTTGAAGTAAAAAGCCCCGAAAAAAATAAATTATATAAGGTATACAAGTGCACAGGACAATCACTTTGATGAATAGTATCTCTTTTTTTCGTAATGTTTCATACCTAAAAATGCAACAATTGAAATTCAAGCTGGTAAATTATAGAGCCATCTTTTGAATTACCTCAATGTAGGCATGCCTTCTGTTTATTTCTCACATATATTGAGTTCTTCCATGTATTTATAGATTGTTGATATAAAAACAGTAGTGTTAGGAACAATTTTGATTATATTCATTGTGTTTACTTTTTGGAAACACAAGGTGTTGCCTAAATACAGGCATACAGGTGTTGCCATCCGGGGATTAAAACAATAGCCTATTTCAATATTCCATCCTGGATCCCAGAGCCAGGTGCCGTGAATGGAGGTGCACATGCTACTCAGCCCGAGAGAGTTGTTCAATATTAGATAACAGAGCCATGAAATACTACACCAAAGGGAAAATTTTCTTCCTGACCCCAGCTAGTGATCAGTTTTTGCCTGGAAGCAGGGGAGTCTTTGTAATACAATACTTGTCAATGTTGCTGGTTTGGCTGCTATAAATAGCTATTTTTTTTTTTTTTTTTTTGGAGGATGGGAGGAGTTGGATTTTACTAAACTGTTGGCTACAGGTTAATTATACATTTCACACAAAAGCATTTCTTGTAGCCAGTCTAAATTTGTTACGTTTTAATCCCATTTTATAGAAGGCTAGAAATATATGAGCCTCCAGCAGGCCCGTTATTATTGTCATTATTTTATACATTGGACCTTCAGCTCTCTCTCTCTCTTTTTTTCTTTTTCCTCTCTATGCATTACTCACCTCTTAGCTAAATTGCAGAGGGTCCCAGTTTCATTCATTCTCCCTTATAGGGAGGGCATTCACTTCCTCTTCCTCCAGCGGCCTGAAAATCATATGTGTGGTTTTTCCTCTTTCCTGCTCTGTAGCGGACATCAGGGGAGCAAACTGAACACAGGTAAGAGCCAGCTTGGTTAGCAAATTAAAATTGATTGATTTTAATGAAGATATTCTATAATATTTTCTTATTCTCTTTACTTAAAGGAAAATGGAAATCAACATTTGAAACTTTTAAATGGAAGCTTTATTGGGGTTCCACATATGGAAAACTGCAAATAGCAGAAGTGTGTGACTTGATAAATTAATCTGGAGTGACCACATCCTCTAACTGCCTCCCAGGACAAGAAGGAGAATGTGAACAATGCTCCTGAAGGCCCCTTTCCCTCAAAGGTAACCATTGGCCTGACTTCTGACACCATGTATTTGTTTTGCTTTTTTTGAAGTTCATGTAAATGGAATCATATCATAGGTATTCTTTTTTAAATTTCATCTTTATTGTGATAAGAACATTAAACATGGATAGGTGTTCTTTTGTCTGTCTTCATTCTCTCAACATTATTTTTGTGTCTATGTTGTTGGGTGTACTAACAGTATGTTTTTCTTGTTATATTTTCTTCCCTTGTATCCTTATATAAGTAATATAGCACAATTTATCATTTTTTTTTTGAGATAGGGTCTCCCTCTGTCACCTAGGCTGGAGTACAGTGGCATGATCTTGGCTCATGGCAGCCCTGACCTCCTGGGCTCAAGTGATCCTCAGACCCAGAGTAGCTGGGACTACAGGCTCATGCCAGCATGCCCTGCCTGGCTAATTTTCATTTATTTTTTTTAAAATTTTTTTTCTTAGAGACAGGGTTTTGCCATGTTGCTCAGGTTGCTTTCAAACTCTTAGACTCAAGTGATCTGTCCATTTTGTCCTCCCAAAGTGCTAGGATTCCAGGAGTGCACCACCATGCTCGGCAATTTATCCATTTTACCCTTGATGAACATTTGAGTTGTTTTGAGTTTTAGGCTATTTTCAGAGAGTACAGCCAGAAACTTTCTTGTGCATGTCTTCAATGCTTGTGTGTATGCATTATGTTTAGTCTATACATAGACTAAAGGGGAAGTTACCAAATTGTAGAACATAACTATGCTCAACTTTAATAAATAATGCCTAATAGTTTTCCAAAGAGATTGTGTCAATTTCCACTCTTACCAGCAGTGAGTGATGTTCTACATCCCTGCTAGCACTTGGCATTCTCAGTCTTCTTGATTTTGGTCATTCTGGTGGTATGTATAGAGTCTCATTGTGGTTTTAATTCCATTTTCTTGGATTATTATTACATTGAGCATCTTTTTCATGTATAGTGGCTATTTGGATATTCTCTTTTGTAAATGGTCATATTAAGTCTATTTTTCTATTGGACTTTTCATCTTTTCTTATTGATTTGTAGGAGATATATATTCTGGATATAGCTTTTTCGTTATATATGTTAAAAATATGTACCACTCTGAGCTTGACTTTTCGTTCTCTTTGTGGTGTCTTTGGATGAATAGAAAATCTTAACTTTTTTCTTTTGTTTTGTTTTGCTTTTTGAGATAGGAGTCTTGCACTGTTGCTCAGGCTGGAGTGCAGTGGCTCAATCATGGCTCAATGCAGCCTCAATCCCCAGGGCTCAAGTGGTTCTCTTACCTCAGCCTCCTGAGTAGCTAGGACTACAGGCATGTGCCACCATGCCTATCTAATTTTTGTATTTTTTTTGTTGTTGTTATAGATATGGGGTTTTGCCACGTTGCCCAGGCTGGTTTTGAGCTCCTGGACTCCTCAAGTGATCCTCCTAACTCAGCCTCCCAAAGTGCTAGGATTACAAGTATGAACCACTGTGCCCAGTTGATTTTAATGTTAATGTTAATATAGTCTATTTTCCTTGATGGTTAATGTTTTCTGTGTCCTATTTAGGAGAGCTTTGCTTACTTCAAGGCCATGATAATATCCTTTCATATTATCTTTTGTAAGTTGTGTTGTTTCACCTTTCACAATTGGATCTACAATCCACATGGCATTGATTTTTGTATATAGTGTGAGGTTGGGATCAAGTTTGGTTCTTTACTCCATGGTATCTACTTACCCTTCATGATGAATGGGAAAGACTTCCTTTCTCCATTGCTATGCAGAGACACTTTTGTCATAAATTAAGCACCCACTTCTTTATAGAATGATCATTTTACTTTTTTCCTTTATTCTGTTAGCATGGTGAGTTATTCAATGGGTTTTTGAATGTTAAACCAATCTTGCATTTCTGGATTAAACTCAACTTGGGTGTGATGTAATACTTATCTTACGTATTGCTGCATGTACTTTGGTCATATTTTTAAAAAAAATTTATAGAAATGTTTATGAATGAAATTTACCTGTAACTTTCTTTTATTGTAATGTCTTTGTCAAATGTGTTATCAAGGTTCCATTGGCTCATAAAACAAGTTGAGAAGTATATAGTCTTTTAGAAATTAAAACATAAATGAGTCTAATCTCATATAGTAATTAAACATATATGTAGTTTATCCTGAGAAGGACTCACTACAGTTTTCTGTCTTTCTATGTTCCTGTGTGTTTTAACTTAGACTTTTAGCAGGAAGCTGATTTTGTGTGAGTTTTGCATGGGAAAATAAATAGGAATTAGGCTATCTTCTAGGAGTTTCCATATGGCACTCAGCAGTATGTTCATGTGCCCAAGGCTGAAATTTGTTACTGCATCTCAATCCTCAAACCCATAATCAAGGCTCATCAGTTGAGAAACCTTTTTGGACATATGACAAGTGTTCAGATAAAATATCTGATCCCTGCCAAGAATTTTCTAGGCCAATTTAATCTCTGACTTTTGACCTTATCAGTCACTGCTCCACAGACTTTTTATTTTTTATTTTTAAAATATACTTTAGTAGCATGCATCTCATTCCTCATCCCAGATCTCCTTTTCTACTTAGTATTGTCCCAGTTCAAGGCCTTGTCACCTCTTGCCTGGGCAGTGGCATCTATGGGATACTATTCTCTATTTCATCTTCTTCTCAGCCATGCAGGTGCTGACTCTGAAATAGAAAGCTAACCACATCAGTCCTTTGCTGAAAACTAGGTGATTTCTGTATTGCTCTGCAAGATGAAGTTCAGGTTTATCAATGTGGTGCAGGTTCTTGCACGATCTGGTGTCTTAGTCCATTCAGGTTGCTTAACAGAATATCTTAGATTGGGTAATTTATAAACAATAGAAATATATTGCTGGTAGTTCTGGAGGCGGGGGAGTCCAAGATCCAAGCATCAGCAGATTTGGTGTCTGGTAGGACTCCATAGATGGCACCTTGTTGCTGCATTCTTACGTGGTGGAAGGGGCAAGGAAGTCCCCTGGATCTTCTTTTATAAGGGCACCAGTCTTACTCATGATGGGGGAGCCCCCATGACTGAATCACTTCCCAAAGGCCCTACCTCTTAATACGATCCCATCAGGTATTCGGTTCCAACATGAGTTTTGGAAGGATACCAGCATTCAGACTATAGTACCTGGCTCTTGCTCACCTCTTCAGTCTGCTCTCTTGTCTCACTCTAGTCTTTGGCTTTACATTCCTGCAACTCTGTCTTCTGGTTCAACTGTGTGTGCTCCCTGTGGTTCTCTGTGCCTGTGCCTTTTCCTGTGCTGACCTTTCTCCCTAGAATAGACTATCCATATCCTTCTGGATAATCCATTCTTTAACAGCCAGCTCAGGGTAGGTAACCTTGCCCTCCACCCAGCTGGGCTCCTTGCCTCTCCTTTCTGCCCATGTGTCTGTCTGTCAGACTGGACTGTGAGCTCTTTGCAGGCAAGGTCTGAATTTTAGTCACTTATGTACACCCATAATTTCCTGTTTGCTGGTAGATAACAGGTGCTCAATAAACAATGATCCAAACAGAAGGAAGAATGGTGACTAATTGACTATTTTGAGTCTAATTTCATTTCTTTTTGGAAGGCTGAGATGGAATAAAATGGTCAAAATGCCATGACCAGAAGGGAGGCAGGAAGGCAAAGGCTCGGGAAGATCTGTAGATACAATCTCTTCCTGTATAACTGAGTTCAGTCTAGCTGATTAAAATCCTCTTATGGTGGAATCTGCTTTTTATAGAATGGATTAGCAACAAGGATTTGCTGTGAAGATAGATTTTTCCAGAGAAACAAATTTGAGCAATTTAAGAATTTAAATGAAAAAAAAAAATCCTGCCCAAGAAGCAAATTGACCAATATCCTCCCCCCATCTCTTATTAATAAAAGAGTTTACACAGACAGTCTTTATGAAATCATGTGGGAGATTCACAAGGATTATTAAGTCTCGGCTAGTCATTCACTTTCACTTTGTAAAATTGGCTATACCCTCAAAATGGTATCACGTAGAAACGGACTTTCTGGGACTCTTATGTATGAATGGGTTCTAGCTGCACAGTGATGCCATTCATTTTATTTGGCCCATTTATTGCAAGTACATTCTAAATTTGGCCTTAATTATTTTTCCTTTCACAAAAATATTTTGTGGGATCTTTTTGAACCCTGACTACTTCCTTCTTGCCCCTTAAAACAGAAGCCAGGAGCATTATTTTTGTTCTCTTCTAATTAAAATAATTGCTTGGCTCCTTTTAACTAGATTCATGCAGTTATTAGCCTAATACATGGATGGGTGCCACGGAGTGCTTGAGAAACAAAATGAAAAGTGATCATGTAGCTTCACATGAAAAAGATTCTGTGGTGCCAAGGAGCATTATTTCCTTTCAGCCGGTATTTTATAAGGGCTTTCGTAAACCTGGCCCCCATACCCTCACTAAAAGACTATTAAGTGAAAGAATAGTTCTATTTTCTTTATTAAGGTATACAACTAGCTCAGTACAATTTGAAGAGGGGCACTTGATATGCTGAGCATGGCATAAAGACCTTGGGTCTGGTTTTAATCTCTGCCCCGGCTTTGTCTTTCAGAATCACTGCAGTTGAAGGAAAAATGCTCCATGTCCCCTCTGCATGTTGGTATTTATCAAAGGACGACGGAGGAAGAGAGACAAAGTGCCTGGATGTGTGTGTTAATCAAGAGTTGTCAGGACCCTGCCTCTAAAAGAAAGTGCTAAAATGATGCTTTTGACAAGACTTTTCTCAAAGTGGATGCAGTCTAAGGGTTGGAAAACAAGTCCCAATCAGGCTAGGTGCGACTTGTCACCTGCTTTCGTAAATAAAGTTTTATTGGCTCACAGACACATCCATTTGTTTTGTATTATCTATGGCTGCTTTCGCTCCACAACATGGAGTAGTTGTGAAAGAGACCATATGGCTGACAAAGACTAAGATATTTACTCTCTGGCTTTTGACAGGAAAAGTTTGCCAATTCCTGATGTTCTCCATCCAGTTCATTACCAATACCTTCTCCATAATGAGAAATAAATTTGTAGGTATTTTTACATAGTACTTATTTGAAGAAATGCTCAGGGCCTTTGGCTGTGAGTTAATTTTATGAGTATTCGGAGCAGGTATATGGATGACAGGCAGCAAGAATGATTTAAGGTAAGAAGTCATGGTTAGAGATAAGATTCTGCCATTATTGTCTCAGGGATAAATCACTGATTATGGCCATCTTTTTCTCTGCCTGCTCTCTGGAGGAGAAAGTGTACACATATCTGGGATTTCTAGCTTGGAGTGCACCTTTATTAACTACATCAAGGCATTATGGTCAACATTGTGGACTTCTGCTTTCACGACAAAAGATGAACATCCTTTCCCACCATTTGGTGGTTGGGAGGATCAAGTGAGAGAATGTGAATCCATGTGTTTTCTAAACCATATAGGTACTGTATTGGTGGTATAGATGCTATCTATAAAACTTTAGAATAAATTATCATCCTCATTTGGCATGCGAGGAAATGTGATTTAGGTAGCATGCCCAAGATCATATAGTAAGCCAGTAGAACAGCTGGCAGTTACTTCTCCTGGCTTTAAGTCACTGCTCTTTCCAGTATACCATAATGCTTCTTTACATCATGTGTCTTTCTATGGTTTTGGAAATGTTCAGTCTTTTAGTTCATTGGTTCACTCATTCATCTGCTATTTAACATCATTTAGGAGCCTTGTATGAGCTAGAAAAAGAGCTGAAATTTTCCAGGGAGTGATAACTGTATCAAGATGAGTTGTAACTCTTCAGTTGTTTTGCTCTTAGACTCCTGTGGCTGGAATCCTCCAGAAGTCCGTAGATTCTTCTTCTGGTTTTTTTCTGTGCTGTCCAAGGAGTTGGCTTTTATTTGTGCCATGGAGAAAGAGAAAGTAGATGAACTTGGAGAGGGAGAGTAATCCTATTGTTCTACAAAATGTTGCCTGACACCTTGTTTTACATTGTGTGCATGTACATGTCTCTTGAGTGCACATACCGTGAAAGGAGAGAGAAAGAGAGATACTGAAATGTTGATAGCAGATTGTTCCAGCAACTGAAAGATGAAAATGATCCAGGCTTGGGAAATGTGAAAGCTAAGATTTTGTACATGAAGTCCAAGTGAATCCATATCAAAGAAATTTCAGATGTGAATTACCCAGCTAAGCAACATATATTAAACATGAGTGCGCCAGATATAGGCTTATTTTATCATACCATTCAATACAGTTCTTCATTCAGATTATATTTGTTCAATGATGTGTCTTGTACTTTTTGAGATGAGATGATACCTGGAGGAAGCAGCTTCGGCCAAAATATTGGATTTGCCTTGTCATAGTAAGAGAAGTACTTAAAGGTTTCTGATTTTGATATTTGCCCTTTTAGTGGGGGAAGTTTGCCAATATTTTCCTTATATTCAATGTTACTAGATACTTGTTGTATGAGTTTGTTCTTACACTGCTATGAAGAGATACTCCAGACTTGGTAATTTATAAAGAAAAGAGGTTTAATTGACTCACAGTTCTGTGTGGCTGGAGGGACCTCAGGAAACTCACAATCATGGTGGAAGATGAAGCAGGTATGTCCTTCTTCACATGGTGGCAGGAGAGACAAGTGCTGAGCAAAGGGGGAAAAGTCCCTTAAAAACCATCAGATCTCATGAGAACTCACTCACTATCATGAGAACAGCATGAGGGTAACTGCACCCATGATTCAGTTGCCTCCCACCATGTGTCCCTCCCATGATACATGGGGATTATGGGAACTACAATGGGCTATGGTGGGCACATAAACTGTATCACTTGTTGTTATCAGATTTATTGGTGAACCTAAAAGTAATATGATTCTCTAAAACAAAGGTGCCAATGAAGTTGCCTAATGAAAAAAACAACCTTCCAGAATCTTCCATTATACAGTTGTCACCTACAAAGACCTCTGAGCGGTCCTGTAGAGAGTTCTGCCTTACTCTCCTTATTTGCACCACAAAAGGCAGTCTCAGCTTTGCTGACTGAATATGGAGGTGATAGTATCAATTCTGTGATTCATCCATAAAGTATGCTACCTCTCAGATATTCCTAGGACCCAGGACACTGCTGTTTTAAGAAACATAATTTGTTTCATCATACAAAAGGCATATCCTTAGCAGGATGTAGTGCTGCTACAGATAAGACATTTTGTCTGTAAGGAAGTCGTCAACATTAATTTATTTAACTTTCTTCTAACAGAGTGAATTTTCTTCCATTTGCTGTGGAGTACACTTCTTTCTAATTCTATTCACTTAGCAGGTATTCTACTGAAAAAATTGTCACCACATTGGCAATGTTTTGTAGAGGGGAAATAGACTTTTCAGCAAAGTGTAAAATTCCACTGCAATGGAATGTGTGTAAGTCTGTTTTTAATGATTGCGCAATACTGTGGAAGAAAGTTAAACCTCTTTGAAAACTGTACTGTGTTACTACTATGACTATGACTATGACTATCGTTACTGTGTGCACTGTTCTTAATGGCTTAAGTCTATTACACTGAGTTTCCCAGAAAGTAGAGCTTGAGGAAAATCTCATGTGCTGCCTCTCGTGGAGAGTTCCATCCCAGAGTAGTAGGAGTTCGGAAGAAAGGGTAGTGTGGCTGAAATGCAAGGAGCAAATACAAGGGTGTGTTATTGATGTATTTGATGACATGTAGCTGTCATCAAATGACATGTAGCTGACTGCTCCATCACCTGGGGCTGTGGTAAGCTAAACATTGGCCCCTAAAGAAATATCCACATCCTAATTCCTGGATCCTGTGAATGTTACCTTATATGGCAAAGACTTTGCAGATGCCATTTAGGATCTCGAGATGCAAGATTACCCTGGGTTTTCTGGGTGATTGCTACAGCCCAACACAAATGTCCTTGCAAGAAGGATGCAAAGGCAGGTTTGATACACAGAAGAGGAGAGGGCAATGTGATCAAGGAGACAGAGATCTGAGTGATGTGGTCATAAGCCAGAGGCCAGAGTAGGCAAGGAAGGAATTCTCCCCTAGGGCCTCTGGAGGGAGCACACCCCCCGCCAATGCCTTGCTGTGAGCCCAGTGATACTGATTTCACACTTCTAGCCTCCAGAACTATAAGATAATACATTTATATTGTTTTTAACCACCAAGTTAGTGGTAATTTGTTACAGCAGCTACAGGAAACTAATACAGGGACCATCCTCCCAGAGCATAAGTGACTAAGTCTCAGGACAGACTGATTGGGTGGAGGGAGAGTGACGAAGGGAAAAGAATTTGTTTGCCAGCTTCAGCCTCTGATTGATTGGTAAGTGACTTTTGCCATGGGTTATTAATCCTCCTTTATTTCCTCCTCTTACCTCTGGACTGAGCATGGTTGTGCACTGAGTTTTGCTGGGATATCTCATGCTTCAGGGGCAACAGAGAAGCCCCAGGGTGGGAGGAGAGAAGCCAGGCAAGGTACCCAAGGAGAGGCTCTGCGGGATCATGTGCTCTACAGTCTATTGCAAGGCAGCTGCAGTGAACAACTGGTCAATGGCCCTGCGCAGTGTGGCAGAGTTGGCACCTGAGGGATAGCTGGCAGGGGGTTCTGAGACAATGGTCTTCTTAGTTGGCACCACAACTCCACAAGGCAGGGGGATATGATGTCTTCAACAGGCTTTCATCTTAAAGTCTTGAATCCTGCTAGCTTGTGGATCCTGCTGCCCCTCAGGGCTGCACTTCCGACTCCCACTGGAGTAAAAACCTGTCTTCTTGTAGCTCTATGATTGGCTCTAGTTTTCCTTCTTTCTTTCTTTCTTTTTTTTTTTTTTTTTTGAAACAGAGTCTTGCTGTCGCCCAGGCTGGAGTGCAGTGATGTGATCTCAGCTCACTGTAACGTCTGCTTCCCGGGCTGAAGTGATGCTCCTGCCTCAGTCCCTAGTAGCTGGGATTACAGGTGCACACCACCATGCCCAGCTAATTTGTGTATTTTTAGTAGAGATGGAGTTTCACCATATTTGCCAGGCTGGTCACGAACTCCTGACCTCAAGTGATCCGCCCACCTTGGCCTCTCATAGTGCTGGGATTACAGGCGTAGCTTTCCTTCTTGATGTACATAAAATAAGGCTCATTCTTATACATGAAAGCTCTCTCCAAATATTTGAAGATTGTTTTTATCTGTTGTTTTTTTTTTTCCCCAGGCAAAACAGTCCTAGTTTTTTCAACTTGGCTTTGTGGAGGAGTTTTCTTTTTGTGGCTGGTGGCCACACCAGCCCCCTCCTCTGGATAAACTATAGTTTGCCTTCCTCTCACCTTACAAGGCAGCTCACAGAATGCACCAGAAATTCAGGTATGGTCTGCTCAAACACACAGTACTTTGACTCCATGAATGTTGCCAGAGATGGATTTTATTTTATTTTATTTTATTTATTTTTGCCAAACACATCATTTTTAGTTGTTTTATGCTGAGTGTTGACTAAAATGCTCTTTTATACTTGGGTATAGATGCCTATATAGAAGCACACAGTTTTAAAGGTACCCAAAGAGCCTGAAAGAGTCAATCTATTTGCAGATGCTATCATTGTAGGTAAAAGATGAAAATGCCACCCCACATCAGGGCATATCAACATTCACAGTTTTATGCTGAATTGAGGTCAGTAGGCAATTCCCACAGTTTGGAACCAATCAGCCATGCCAGCCTGGGGAGCATTCTCAGTCAACCCTGCCTACCACCAACCCTTCCCCATAAAAAACCAACTTCTGAAGGAGCTTCTGGAGGTAGATTTACCCAGGTGGGAATGTTCCCTTTCACATCTCTAGCAGTCAGCACTGATTTGGATTCTGTTCTTGGTCCAGTCCAAGTCCTCAGGGTCTTCTGTGAGAAGAGCCAATACTGCAGACTAAAAAGGCCTGGGTGGGCAGGCATCCATCATCTCTCATCTTCATACAGCCCTGTGAGGTAGGCATTACTGTCTTCATTTTACAGATGAAGAGATGGGCTCAGCATGTCAGACTTTCTGCCACACCAGGTGGCAGCTAGAATGAACGTGGAGCTCAAGGGGTTGGAGGGCGCCTTGGATCTCTGCAGTTGAACCAAACCTGGAACTGACCCTTCTGAAGTCCCTTAGAGAGCTGAGTAGCACACAGTTTTTACAGAATGGCTGGGCCTCTGTGGTTCCGCTAGGTGACTAGGCCTCCTGGAGTCATTTATGTCAGGGAAGCAAGGCCCTGCAGTGTTCTGGTCCAGCCTCTTCCATTCACAAACGTGGGATCTTCATTGGCTTGGCATGTATTCACGAAGTGCCTGTTGGGTCTTTTAGGCCAAGCCAGGGTCAGAATGGAAAAATAGAGACCCTTGGTGCAGGTCATGGTGCCCGTGAGTGAGTGGCAGGGGTTGGAATCGGTGTTGGTGTCTTACTCCCAGTCTGGGTTCTGTGGTGGACCCGCACACAGCTTGTGAGCTCTCTCTGGGCCGCCTACCCAGACCACAGTGTTCTTGAACCCATGAGGTGGCATAATATTGTATGAGCATTATCCACCTTTTTACCACTCAGTATTTCTTTTCACCTCTACCTCATTCAAGCAACTGGCCACAGACTGCTCGGGGCTTCGGGGAGGGAAACTCCCCGGAAAATGAGTCTTCTCCTGTGTGTCACAGATTCTTTAGGTTGACTCCCTCAGTCCCCTCTGCAATTCCCATTCTAACTGGCATTTAAATATCCCCACTCTAACTAGCCTCCTGCTGTGGAAGCTGGAAAGCCAAAAGCTGCCTTTCCCATCTGCCCTACAAACTGGGGTGCTCAGATGCCCACAGTAGTGCACCCCATGAGCTGCAGGCCACCCACAGTCCATCACGGCTGCTCTTCCAGGTCCAGCTCCTTCTTGCTCCCAAGGCAGGCAATGGTCAGGGCACAGTTGACCTGATTGAAAGATGGAAAGAACTTGGCTCCTTGCTTGGGTCTTTGAGCACTGTATCAGATATTTTTATGTCCTGTAATAAATGTTACTGGTCAAGCCATTGTTGTTGGGGTTTCTTATATAGTCATCCATAGGCAAGCCTTACCCAAGACATTGTTTTGTAACAGTCCCAGTCCTTAGGGGAGCAAAGAGGCCTCAGAGCCCAGCTGAGCACTTGAGAGTACACACCCAGGGCAGTAGGCAAGTCTGTGGGGAAGTGATGGTCATGATGGTGGGGTTTCAAGAGAGAAAGAGCCTTGTCCTTGTTCTCCAGACAGCAGGGCAAAGGCCACATGGGTGGAACAAGAGGGTGTCCAAGGCAGTTTGGGTGAACCAATGCTTGAGGACTGGGTGATGGGGCATAGCTGCTGGGTTCACAGTTCCAGGGTCTTGACTGATCTCCATTTCTGGTCCCCATTCTCTCTAGCAATCTATGAGGCATGTGTCAGTCCTGGGACTGGTTTTACCATGCAGGTGGATTCTGGAGGCATGGTGGTAGAAAGGGATTCTGGAAGGCAGGGCAGGGACAGGACACTTGTCTGTTGGTGGCACTCATGGAAATGCTGCTGAACACTGCTGATATGGAGGGGGAACTGGGCAAATCAGTTTCTATTTTGGAGATGATTACAATGAAGCCAAATCATTCCTTGTCTTCTTTTCAGCCCACCACTTCTCTGATTTTTCATTCCATGAAATTCGATTCCTTTGAGCAGCTACATAGTGGTTACCTGGTACTCTCAGTACCGGCTGTGTGGCTTTGAATGCGTCTTTAAAACCCAATAACCCATTTCGTGTCTCTCTGCGTTGTCTGGAAAATGGAGGGAATAACAGGACCTGCTTCACAGGGTCACAAGGTCATGTGAGGGGTAAAGCCCTTAACAGGGCTGGCTCATAGCAGGTAGTAAATGAATGCATGGGCATTCCCATGGGCCACGGGGTGTGCTGGCTCCCTCAGGTTCCCTCACCAACCCTATTGTTCCCTGGGAGACAGCGGCCATCAGCCTTACTCTGAGCTACAGAACCAGGCACAAATCTAACATTTATTTATTTATTATTTTGCACAAGAGTAGCAGAGCAGCAAGCAACAAGTGCATAGCTTTACCTAGGTTGCCTTGTAACTGAATAGCCTCAGTCTTTGCATTTGGTTTGAGAGGAGGATGTTTGCTCCAATTCACTCCCTTTACACTTCCTTGAAAGGTAGTTTCTCTTCACTGATTCCCCACAGAAGGGAACCCTTGCTCCACCTTGGTTGGGGCTTCCAAAAGTTGGTGAGTTGTGTTGCAAAGCTAAATTCCCCATTAGGACATTGCATAAAGTTGGAATAAACGTTTTAACATAAAATCCCAAATTGCATCATT